CCAACGCCAGGCAGGTGTCCGGGTCCTCGCCGTAGTAATCCTGGGCCGCCTCAAGCGCGGCCTCCACTCCAACGCCGTCCTGGATGGCGGAGAGGAGGGCCTCGAGGAGCCAGACCACCGCCGAGGGCTCCCCCGACGGGTCGCGGGAGGCGCCTGTGGAGGGGGTCCCTCCCTCACGAGCCGGAGGGCGCGGTGAACTTCCCCGGCGGGTGTTCCTCCCCCGTGGGGGGTACTCTTCCCCGCCCGAGGCTTGGCCGGGCTCCTCGCCCATGCGCCGGGCACTCCGATGGCGCCATCGGTCCAGCTCCCGGGAGTTCAGCAGTAAGACCACCTCCTGAACCCCGCCTGCCCCTCCGGAGGGGGTCTTCGCTTCCTCTGTCAGGGCGCTCCATTCTGGTTTAGTCACTTCGACGAACCAGGCAGGGATCCCTTCCGGGGGGGGGAGGAGGGCCGGTCCCGGGTGACGGATCTGACCGATCGGGACGGAGTAGCGAAGGCCGAGGGCGGCGAGGTGGGCCACCGCCTCACCCGGGGGGTGGCCTGCTGGCGGCTCCTCCCCCTCCCCCCGGAAGACAAGATAGTGCTCGGCCGGGGGCTGTTTCCCACGCCCCCGAAGGGCTTCCTCCTCGCGGCGAATGTGGCCCAGGAAGAGGCGGCCAACCGCGTCGCGCGGGTGGATGGTGGGAGGCAGCGGGGTTAGAGGGCCCGGAGGGGGGTCCTTCGAGGAGGCCGGCAGTCCCTCTCCCGGCCGCCCCTGGGGGGGGCCGGCGGACTGCGCCGCGTGGAAGGCGCAGAGGGGCCTCCCATCCACCTGCAGGGTCCCGATCTCGTCGCACGGGGGGGGGCCCGCGAAGGCGCAGAGGAGGTGCTGGCGGGCAAGCCGGTACATGCGCTTGTGCCGGGCGCATAGGGGGGCCAGAACACGCCCGCTCAGCCGCTCCCATCCGGTGATGTCCGACTGGGGTTCGTCCTCGACCAGGAGGAGGGTGAACACTTCGTCCGGGGGCTCCGGGCACGGGGCGCGGAGGCCGAGGGTGCCCAGGGTGCTTCCGGGTTGGCGCCAGCCCAAGCGGTCCCCACCACACGTCCCGATGGTGGGCCCCTCGCTCTCCGACTCGAGCTGGCGATCCCGGGGCCTCCCCGCTCCGGCTGCCGTTCTCCTCTCGCGGCAGCACCACGCCCCCAGCAGGTCTATCCCGATGGCTCGGGACATGGATCAGAGGAGTCGGTGGGCGCCCCCGAGGGCGCGGCCGAGGAGGCAGGCGAGGCCCAGGAGGAAGCCTTGATAGGGCAGAGCCTCCTCCAGGTTCAGGGCGAGCCCCTCCTCCACGCCGGTGTAGTGGTAGCTGACCGCCACAATGTCTGGGGGGATCTCCGCTTCCCACTCCCGCGCCAGGTAGACGGCGCGCCCCCGGGCGTTCTCCAGCCGCTGACGGAGGGAGGGATCCGCGCAGTGCAGCACGGCACCGTAGAGGTACACCTGCCCTCCCTTCCGCGTCGCGGGCAGCGTGGAGCCCGGCTTCCGCTGCATCCGGGCCGTTCCCTCCTCAGTGATGGCGAGCAGCTCGCGCGGGCGGCGGCTGGAGTGCCTCCCGCGGGCCCGGATCCAGCCCTGGAAGAACTTGTTGGGCGTGGTCCCGCCCGGGGCGGGCCCTCCCCACGCCAGCCTCGAGTCCTTCAAGGGGTGCGGGTGTTCGTTCCTGCGCAGAGGGCCCTTGACCCCGTGAGAGTAGGGCCAGGGCATAGGCCAGGAGGATGAGGAGGTCCAAGGCCACCAGGGCGGATAGGAGGTAGAAGAAGACCAGGAGGTACTGGAGCCAGTGGGGGAACCCCTTCCAGCGGGCGCTCCCGAACATCATCAGCCCGAACCAGGCCCCTCCCTGCAAGAGGCCGTCCAGGAGGTGGTTCGGCCATCCCGGGGGCGGATCCTCTCCCGGGGTTCACCAGGTGCCCGAGTATGCCGGCGCCGGCCGTAGGCCTCCGGGGCTCGGCGGGGCGCCCAGGCTGAAAGATGCGCGTTCAGCTGGCAGAGGGTCCGCTGGATACTCCAGGAATGATCATCTGAAGCCCCCCCCTCCGTCCGATTGCCCCCCTCCCCCCCTCCTCCAGCCGGGGGCTCCGACGAGGAAGGCGCGGGGGGAAGGTCTTCCACGGGCGAGGCCGCGGGGGTGTGCCCAGCAAGGGGAGGCACGATGTCGCCCTCAGGCTCCATGCAGACACCCTCCTCTACCTGCTCTGGGGCGGGGTCGGTGCCGTCGGCGGGGGCGAAGTCCACGGCCCCCGCCGTCCCAACGGCAGCCCCAACGGCCGCTCCAGCCACGGGAGCCGTGCGCCCTCCCGGAGGCAGGGCTCCCAGCGCGGCCGCGGCGAGCGGCAAGAAGCTCGCGGGGTGGGAACCTCCCCACCCCTTCATGATGAGATTAGGGGCCAGGGGCCCCTCCTGCAAAAGCACAGCTCGAAGCACAGACGGCTGCGGAAGAGGGGAAAGGGAAAGAAGGGGAGGGAGCCGCAGCACTACGGCCTAGGGGGGAATAAAACCGTTTAGGCATAGCCAAACGAGACCATCTGGATTGAGCTGGTCTTGAACTTGAAACAGAGAGTTTGAAAATAACATTGCTATCCAACAGTCGTTGTCTTCGCCACCTTGAGGACCGAGGTCAGACGGCGCATCGGCGAATGATAGTGGAATCAGGGCAGTCGGACAAGAACTCCGAAATCACGAACGAGTTCCGAGTAGGTCGTCGAGGCGCCCGGAGTTCGGGGGGGCCAGCCCTGTGGCTCTTTCTTATGCAGCATGCCGCGCTCGCGCTTGAGAAGGGACGCAAGACAAGGAACGTACAGAGCTATGTATAAGAGAATGCGAATGCTGCGCGTGCTGTACAATTTGATGGCCACTGCGGGTCCTGGGGCGGAAGCCGCAAGCTGTGCAACGCGGGGCCGGCACTTGCCGAACGCATTCTTCCATTGCAAGTCCAATGGTACTGCAAAGCCGATGAGGGCACCGAGGTAACGGGCATGTGACGCTATCTGGATGGGCGACCGTTCAGGGTCGAGAACATCGATGATGTGCTGGGTATTGCAGTGGACAGGACGGAGGGTGAACATTCCGCCCGCAGAAGTATTAGGATTGTCTTCTGGATCTGGAGCTCAAGTCCGGCGAGAGATGGGATGGCACGGAACCGACGGAGGAGGACTCCGAAAGAACCGAGTTGGGCGAATATGAAGCAGATCATCCGCGCAAGCGGGAGAGTGGCGATAACGGTTTTGATCTGACGGATCGGAGCATCAAACGCGGAAGTCCACATGTATCGAGAAAAGGGGCGTCCCTGGAGGACTCCCAAGCCAATGTCAACATTAACTGAAAGGTGCCGCCTACACGGGCCCGAGCTCCAAGACAACTGCATAAAGCTGCAATGGCGCTGAGGTGGCCCGGGTGGCTCCTTTGGTCTCCTTGGCAGCAGAAAGAAAGGTCCCTCCTAAAAGGTGGGAGCGCTGCTTTGATGTCGCAACTAATCGAGCTTGAGATCGTCCTGGCCGAATCTGTGGGCTCCCGAACTCACGGAAACGATGCGGTGCCCAGCAGTCCTGCCTTCTGCGACACCTGCTTGACTGTCTTTAGTGTGCTCACAAACCATGTCCACGAGATCCACGTTCACAACATTTGCAAAGATCACGGTCTCGCAACTCTTCATGGAAAGGGGGCGGGTAGCTCCTGGCGAACGAAAGAATGCGTACTGTCCCGGGGGTCTTCTTCTCCAGGAAGGAAGACGAAGACTGAGTCGTTGAACCTGGACAAGGCCAGGCCGGTTCCAACATCTGCATCATGAGGTCATGGAGGATCTGGGACGGGCATAGAATGGTGGCTCACGCCACCTCGGGGAGATGGTCCGGGCCTGAATCAGTATGGTGGACCTTACGAGAGCCCTTTGACAATCCTCGATGCTGGGGACCCGTGGATCCGCCTTTTCGAAATCGGCAGGTGGGTCTTGAAATACTTATGGACCACCGCGGGGTCCACCGAGAAAATGAACTTCCACCGTTGCATTCGTCCCTCGAAGATTCCTTTTGGAGCCTGATTGACCGTGGGGGGCTCAGGACTGTGGGCATCCTTTGAGTACTCAACAACGACGGAACTCCACGCCTGGCGCGAGCTCGCCTGGTAAATCTGCATCTTGTGTCCCTGCTGCTGGTGCTTGGTGGCGATGGCGATGCGCCTCTCGTCGTCCGCAGAAACTGCCGCATCCATGGCAGCAGAGAGATGATTGCGGTACTTGAGGGTGGGGCCCTCCTCCTCGATCTGAACATGGTACTTGCCGAGCTCGGTCGTAGACGAGAGGATGGAGCCTGTGGCCTTGCTCTTCCTCCAGCTAGCTCTGGCAATAGCACGCATCGTAGTGAACACGTCCATTTCTGGCCCAGCTGCTGTGGCCTTTGAGGGTGATTTTCTGCTGGAGTTTGCGCGTGAGGCGGGCAGCTTCCTTCATTGTCAGCTTGTGCTGCTTCCATGCAGCAGTGACAACCAAGTAAGACTTGGGAATGATACCCAATAGTCTTTCGAGGTGCCGCTCGTAGGTAATGTCGTGGAACATGGATGGGTCGATGGCCTGCTCGGAGACATTGTCGAGCATGAGGTGAAGCATGGCGTGGTCGCGGATGCCATGGTCGGAGAGGATTGCACCATCTTTGTGAATCTGAGGATGATGATGAGGAGAAGGAGAAGGAGAAGGAGGAGCAGGAGGAGGAGGAGGAGGAGGAGGAGGAGGAGGAGGAGGAGGAGGAGCAGCAGCAGGAGCAGGAGGAGGAGGAGGAGGAGGAGGAGGAGGAGGAAGAGGAACAGCAGGAAAAAAGGAGAGGAGGAGGAGGGAGGAGGAGGAGGAGGAGGAGGAGGAGGAGGGAGGACGGGAAGAGGAGGGGGAGGAGAGGGAGGGAGGGAGGGAGGGAGGGAGGGAGGGAGGAGGAGGAGGAGGAGGAGGAGGAGGAGGAGGAGGAGGAGCACCCAGAACCTTTGAACCGCCGATCGGGGCACCAGTCGCACCGCAGGACGTGCTCGTCCTCCATGGCGTGGCGGCGGCCGCGCGCAGAGCAGACGGCGGCGCGCAGCCCGCAGCCCGCGCCCGCGGCCTCCTCCAGCTGCCGCCCTGAGGCGTCCATGCGAGGGCCGTGGCCAAGCGACCGCGGCCCCCGGTGTGCCCCCAAGCCGCGCGAGGGCACGGCCCCCGGGCGTCCCGTGCCCGGAGATCCTGGCGCTGCCTCGCTTCGCGCAACGGGCCTCTTCGCCCACTTCTGGGCCCCGTGACCCTCACGGCTCGATCCAGCTCGGCTCCGGTGGCGATTTTCTGCGATGGTGCAATTTTTTCGAGGCGTCGGATCTCAAGGCAACGGAGGGGCAATAGGGCCACAATGGTGGCCTGGAAATGTGCACCAACACTAGCGCAGGGGGTTGCCTCCACCAGGGGAAGATGAGCCTGGAGCTTGGTGCTGGTGGTAACTCCTCGGCCGCCTGATGAACCCCAATCTTACCACCATCACCGAGATCGCCCTCCGGTGGAAGCAACCGCCGATGCTGGTGTTGGTGTCAACCTCTCGGAATCCGAACGTACATGGGTGGGATCGAAGGCTGCAGGGAAGGGGCCCTGAAGAGGCCCTGCAAGGGCTCCCGGGGGCCCCACAGGTGCATCTCTCTTCACAACGCTGTCACGGGGTCCCTGTAGTGTGGGGGGTGATAAACGGAGGGGGAGATCGATGGTCGTGCACCTTCGGGTTCCCCAGGGGTCCATCCTGCATCCCCTTGAAGCCCCTCCCCAGCAACCCTCGATGCCCCCCTCGATGTCGCCCCCCCAGGTTACGAAATGCCCGAGGTCCGTTGACGCGGTCGCACGGGCCGCGGGCTGTAGCGCCTCTTTTGAGCAGGGATGCAATGGCGAGCTCCTCTTCCGCTGGCTCCAGTCCCACCATGTCCAGCCCGGCCGCGCCCTCGGCCGCGCCCTCGGCCGCGCCCTCGACCGAGGCCGTGGGCGCGGAGGAAGCCGAGGGCCGCGGGGAGGCGGGAGCGGACGTGGCGGGCGCGGAGGACGCCGAGGGCGGCGAGGAGGCGGAGACTGGCGGTCGCCTCCGCGAGCAGCAGCAAGACGACCGAGTGCGGAGGCTGACGCCCAGGGGCGCTGATATGAAGCTTGCGCTGGTGCACACATTGCTTCGTCGGCCTCTAGCGACTCTAGTTCTCGCAGCCTCCACGAGGTTTAGCATGATAGTTTCGAACGCCGTCTCTCCGTCTGTCGCGCCCGCCTCTCTGACAAATGAATGCTGAATCCAGCCGGATACAATCCCGCACTGCTCGAGAGCAGTCTGCATTGGGGAAGTATCTGTATCTCATGGCCATGGAGGTGACTAGAGGCATTATGTCAGATGCGTATCGGAATGCGCATCGACATGCAAATCGAAATGCAAACCAATTGCGAACACAACGAAAATCTAAAGGAACATCGACGTGCACATCGAAACCCGAATACACTTGCAATCGAAATGTACATGCAATTTCAAACTACGCTTTATATGGAATTGTGGCGCGAATAGCCATCGCCACACACATGATTATAACATCGAATTTCGAACCACACTCAATCGGAATAGAATTCGAAATTTGCATCGGCAGGCACATCGAAATGCATCGGCATGTTGTCGACATTCACAACACATTGCAATTCGATGTGTAAAATCCAATTGCAATCGCGCACGTCGATATGCACATCGACATGCAATCCGAAATGCAAACCTACCTCCAGACCGAGACGCACAGCGGAGCGGGAATTGAAATGCAAACCGCGATGCTAATCGAACTGGGAATCGACATTCAGTTCTAAAATTCCCGCGGGGAGTAACAACTCAGCCAGGTAATGCAGATAGATCGTGAGATCGGTGATCGAGGACGCCGATCGGTATATGGATGCTGGACGAGAAGTGCATGCAGCGAGACGGATACACATATGTATACCTGCACATTCACCTGTTCATCTTTATCTCCATATCTGAGATGTGCGTGTAAGTAGGTACATGTAGGTTGAACTCATGTTCATACATAATTGTCATGTTAATGCATGCTGTATATGCGTACACTATTTCGCCACACATAGATGAATACATATACACACGTATGCATGTTCACTTATACGTATACGTGTGCATACATTCGTATGTTCACACGTGTACACACATACACACATATATATATATATATGTACATACTAGAAACACATCCCCTTTACCTTAAATCAGGTTGGCATGCTCCACTGGGGCAAAACGTACAAACCTGAAGCACAAGTAGCTTCTTCCAAACCAATGGTGGTCGACACTGCGGTGCCCCAGCTGTGCCCACATTCCAACTCCAAACATGAAATTTCTAGGTCCGCCGTCACCACTGTCCCCACCACTACCGTCCCCACCACTGTCCCACTGTCCCCACCACTGTCCCGCTGTCCCCTCACCACTGTCGCCACCACCACCGTCCCCACCACCGTCCGCCCCCCCCTCCCGGTTTTCGAAGGGGGGGGGGTCGAACCGGTAGTGGCCCCCCCTCCCCGGTTTTCGAGGGGGGGGGGGGTTCGAACCGGCAGTGACCCCCCCCCATTTTTATGATGGACTGGGGCGGGGGGGGGGAGGGGTTCGAACCGGTAGTGACACCCCCCGGTTTTCCAGGGGGGGGGTGGGGCGGGGGGGGAGGTTCGAACCGGTAGTGACCCCCCCCGGTTTTCCGCCAGCAGCGGTAGAACACGCTCTTTCCTGGATTTCAATGCGGGATCCCTCGGCATCCCAACCGTTTCCCCAGGCCGGTAGCATCGCGCGGGAGAGCCAGCGTGGGCCAAGCCGGTAGCATCACGCGAGAGAGAAAGGGAGAGCAAAGGGTAAGAAATGGAAAAGATAGAAAAGCAGGAGGCTAGTCTGGGCTATGACGCGTGTTCTTAGACGCGGGTCTCTACTCTTTGCCGACTTGGCACCGCTCTTGCTAGCAATTCTCTCGCGCAAGCAGTCACCCAGAACACGATTTGTTTGATCTGCAGGGCGAAAGCGAACCTCTTCCGCTGAAAGCTAAGCGGGACGCGCACAGCTGTAATCAGCAGAGAAAGGGCGGAAGAAGGCGGGGCCTCACGCGGCCGGGAGAGGGCGAAGCCCAGGGGCCAGGCGGCGCCGAACTGGCCGTGCAGGAAAAAGTACACCTTGGACGCCAGCGGCGCTTCGAGAACACCAGCCTCGCAAACTGCGGGAGAGGACGCGCCGCGTCACCAGGTCGACGCCCGAGAGGAAAAAGAACACCACTGAGCCTGAGTGCAACGTTGTGCCGCCAAAGTGATGCCAGGAATACCAGCCGTGGTAGTCCAATCCACGGACTTGGGGGCTCGCAGCCTGAGGCGCGGCAGCCAGGCGAACCGTGCAGTTGCCGCCGATGACCGACAATATGCCGGTGTGCTGCAGGGAGGAAGCCTGCCCTGCACCGGCAAACGCGTGAGGGTGGGCGGAAACCATCCAGAACACAAATACGTGTTCGGCGGGGGCAACCCGCAAATATGAAAGAAATATCCAAATCTCGCGGCACCTATCACATGCGGTTAACACAGCCAACTGTTCTCAGCAACGCTATCAAGTCATGAGCAAGTGCATCTCGAAGCTGGAAGAAGCCATTTACCCGCAACGCAACACTGGCACTGGTTGCGGTGGCAAATGAATGGACCAAATAAAGCATCGAGGAACCCCAATCTTCCTTCTCACACTCTTCAGCGCATCCCCGACCTGGGCACACATCGCGCTTGGCGAGCAGCGAGTTCGATGCGTTGTCAATCGCCTCCTGAGCAGCCACCGCCCATCGCACTGTCGGGCTCAGCTGGCCTTTCAGCTGCAAGAACGCGGCGTCTTCGCACCCGTCTGCGGCTTCACACGCGTCCGTTGGGGCCTCACCGGAAGCCGCTCCGGGGTTGAGCAGTAGAGCCAGCGCGATGAGCCTTGGGAGCGCCATCGAACACAATAATCAAGGATGCGCAGTGCGGGGCGAGGGGCGTCGGCCAGGATAGTCTAAGTCCGAAGCCAAACGACTTGAGCCAAAATTGACGGCAGCGTTTTTGTTGACGGCGGCGGGGCCCCGCGAGGGCCCCCAAAGGCCGAGAACTGCCCGTCGCGACTTTGTTCACGGCGCGGGCATCTCCAGGGCTGTACGCACCATGTAACGACCGTCTCGTTGTTGCGCCGAGCAGCGTCGGACCCCCATGCTAGGAGTCCCCAGCGCCGACAGCAACTACGCTGAGCACCACCGGCCCCAGGCACACAAACGAGCATGTGGCACCAATGTCTATTTGCACGCCTCTCGCCAGCGAACTTTCGAACTTGTCACTGTGGGAGGCTCTGAAGTGGCACCGACAATAATATATCGGCGCTTGCATCCACCGAGGAACGAGGATCCCAATCTACGGGTGACGGTGGCAAGATTTGGGATCCTTCGGCGGCCGATCGGTTACGACCAACACCCAAATCCTGGATCATCTCTCGCAACTGGTGACGCCCCCGTGTGCAAGTGCTCGTGCCAACTTCCCGGCCTCCAACAACAAGGACTTGGGCCTCTTCGGGCTCTCTCGGGACGTCTCTCGGAGCTCTCTTGGGCACTCTTGGAGGCCTCTCGGCCTGTGTGTTTGCCGTCTTGAACTCCTCTTGGGCAACGTTGGAATCATCTCGGCCGCCCTGAAACGCCCTGGGGCCTCCCGCTCCCGCTCTGGGGCACATCTTGTGCCTCTCCTGGGGCTCTCTTGTGCGGTCTTGGCCTGCTCTTGGGCAGTCTTCCGGCTCTCCGGGGCCGTCTTGGTCCTCTTTTGGGGCACCCTCGGCGGTCTTGGGGCGATCTTCGGGGCGTCTTCGGCCGTCCTGGAGCGCTGGAAGCTCGAGAACGCGAGAAAGCGAAAAGCGTTGAACAAAAACAACCGGAAATCAAGGATATAGGCTTCTTCGGGCTCTATCAGCACGCCTCTCGGAGCTCTCTTGGGCCCTCTTGGAGGGGTCTTGGGCTGTGTATTGGCCGTGTTGGGCCCATCTGGGGCCACGTTTGGGCCATCTGGGCCGTCTTGGAGCGCCTAGGGGCCTCCCGCTCCCGCTCTGTGGCACAGTTTGAGCCTGTCCTGTGGCTCTCTTGCGCGGTCTGAGGCCCCTCTTCGGCGGTCTTGGGGCGGCCTTCGGGGCGTCGTCGTCCGTCGTGGAGCGTCGGGAGCTCGAACGCGCGAGACACCGACAAATAAAAAAACCAAAAGAAATCAAAAATTTGGGCCTCTTCGGGCTCTCTCGGGACGCGTCTCGGAACTCTTTTGAGGCCTTGGAGGCCTCTTGGGATGTATTTTCGGTCTGGAGCCCATCTCGGGCCACGTTTGGGCTATCCGGGCTGTCTTGGAGGGGCTGGCCGAAGTCCCCTGGGGGCCTCTTGGAGCGTCTTGGAGCTCTCTGGGGCAGTCCGGGGGCTCCACGGCCCCTCCAGGGTGCTTTGGGAGCGTTCTCGGACACCCCGGTCCCCCCTGCGCGCTCCAGGTCCCGGCCCCGGGCGCCTGGGCCTCTTGCGCGGGTACACCTATATATATTTATATATATATATATATGTATATATATATATACACACATATACACACACACCCGGTCAATATTAAGAAAACCATGAGATAAGAAATTTTGGGCTGAACTGGGAAGCGGAACAAATAAGAAAGTAGAGGCTAAATTCCGGGGCAGTTTCTTAGCGTAGCCAGGAGGGGGCGCGCGGCTGCCAGGCGTACGTGGACGGGGCCTGGTCCGTGTATATATATATATATAGATATTCGTAAAATCGTGTGTATGAAATTACAGATATCCACAATGAGATCGGTAGATGGATGGCGAGGTCGGTAGATAAGCCTTGGTACTGATAGGTGCACAGTGCAGTCGATGGATAGATCTTGAGCTCGGCGGGTTGGTAGTGAAATCGGGAGGTAACGAGGTCCAAAAATATATTGCGAACCAGATTGGACGCTGATCGCAAACGGGCAGCTGTGCCCATCCTAACCTCCGTCTGACCTGAAGGGTGGTCTCTGAGGTATTGGAACTCACTTTATTAGAGCAACAATATCATACGTAGCTGGACTTGCTTTTCCCACGAGACAACTACGAAACAACCCAAGCGAGAACGAAAAGGCCTTGACGGGACAACAACCCTCGGGACAATCACGGGACAATCACGGAACAACAAACAAAACAACGCGGACAACCAACAAGACAACCCACGGGACAACCATTGGACAACCACGAGACAAACCACTGGATAACCCGGAAGAAGCCATGGGACAATCACGGAACAACCCACATGACAATCCACGGGGCAAACGTTGGACATCGACGAAACAACCCACGGGACAATCAACGTGACAGCCCACGGGACAACCCTCGGGACAATCCACGGGACAACCAAAATGACAACCCACGGGTCAACCCACAGTACAACCACAAGACAATCGATGGATAACCATGGGCAACTACGGGACAGCCCCGCGGGCCACCACCAAACGGACGGGGCAGAATCATGCTGTCCCACTCAGCCCCAACTGCGGCCGACACATCATCACCTCGCCCGCATGCGACGATAACTTTATCGCACCCCAACCTTCAGCGCACTGTAATGTTGGCAACGCAGGCGGTATCATCGAGCACCGTGGGCATCAGCGGTGCGAGCGACATCTCTGTTTCTTTTAATGACAAGCACCATCTTCTCCGCCGCCCTTCGCTTGGGTCAGATTGTCGAGAAGGAGCCTTGATACAACCCGTGATGGACAAATATGGACGGCGAGAATGGGCGGCGGAGTCGGAACAGATAGAGACCCAGCGCGGTGCGGGCCAGTAGCCACACCAACAATTGAGCTAGGGCGCACCTTGAGCTCGGTGGACCAGATTCAATGCCTTACTTATGCAAGCGAATTCTGCTGCCAGCGGTCACCTTTGTCACCGCGGCGCGCTTGGCTTCATTGACAAATGTCGCCGAGAGTGGAATGGAAGGTGAAGATGGCTTACCACCCAGATCAGCAGCAATAGCAGCAGGTAAAGATCTGACATGAGATCTCTGGGACGCCCATGACTGCGAATACGATGGGCGCGTGCAATATTCATATGCTGCGACCCCCGCGAAGAGTTACTTCTGATCAAGAGCATACGGTGCACAATCCCAAAGTCAGACCATAGACGATATGGAGCCATGAAGTACTTTACCCAGACAAAGCTCAGCATACATGAACAATCTGTTGGATGTCGAAAGGCTGAATTAGTCTACCCTGCTTTTCAGTGCCTTGCAGTGCGGTGCATCGCGTGGCGTTGCATTCGTTTACTTTCCGTGCTGTGCGTGTCTTTGCGTGTCTTTTCTGTTCGCTGTTTTTATGCTGCATGGTGGTGCGTAGTGTTGCTCTGAGCTACATTGCAATACCTTGAATTGCACTGCTTCTGTTGGAATTGCTTTGGCTCATGCTCGCCACCGTGGATCGCAAGCGGAAGGTTTTTGTACTCTCGATGTGCAACCTTTGTGGTGCAAGTTGCGTAGGGTGCAACCTTTGTGTTGCAATCTGTGCGGTGCAAACGGGACAATTCAATCTCTATGGTGCAAACTCAGTGGCGCAAACTATCGGGTATCATGTATGGTGCGATCTATTGGGTGAAATCCACTTTGACTGTCTTGAAGCTGGCCTCTCCACTGCTCGTGCAAACTTCCCACCATCCCATCCGCAACTTGGTCGCAAGCCCTCTTAAGACCGTGACGGTAGGTACCAAATGACACTTGGCAGCGACACAGACGCCGACGACGACTGCGACAACGACGACGACGATGACGCCGACGATGCCCGCGACGACACCGACGACGACGACGACGAAGACGACGACGTCACCAACGAAGACGACGACGACGACGAGGGAGGAGAAAGGACGACGACGACGGCAACGACGACAACGACGAGGGAGGAGGGAGAACGGCGACGACGCGAACGACGATGAAGGAGGGAGGACGGCGATGCCGACGACGACAACGACGAGGGAGGAGGGAAGACGACGACGACGACGACGGCGACGAAATAGGAGGGACGACGACGAGACGCCGACGACGGACGACGACGACAACGAGGGAGGAGGAAAGACGACCACGGCGACGACGACGACGGAACTGACGACGACGACGCCAAAGAGGACGACGACGACGAGGAAAATCAGAGGACGACGCTGGACTCTGGACTGGACTCTGTGACTTACTGGTATGCCGGATGGCCTCACGTATGGCCTCCTGCATGGAGTCTCTTATGGTCTGCCGTATGGCCTCCCGAGGAGGAGGAGGAGGAGGAGGAGGAGGAGGAGGAGCAGGAGGAGCAGGAGCAGGAGGAGGAGGAGGAGAAGGAGGAGCAGGAGGAGGAGGAGGAGGATGAGGAGGAGAAGGAGGAGGAGGAGGAGGAGGGGCTGATCTCCCTGATGGTCTCCCCTATGATCTACCGTATCGTCTACCAATACGGTCTCCCTTCCGGTCTCCCGCATGGTCTCCGCATGGTCTTCCGCGTGGTCTTGCGTGTGGTCTCCCGCAGCGTCTCCCGCCTGGTCTCCCGTATGGGCTCCCCAATGGCATGGCGCATGGTATCCATGTGCCTTTTTCGTATGGTCTCCCGTATGATCTTCCGTATTGCCTCACTCATGGTCTTCCTGGTGGTCTCCTTTATGGCCACCCTTGCGGCTTCATAATATATATATATATACGTATGTATGTATGTATATATATACATATATGCGTATATGTGTATATATATATAAATCCTGTCCTGTTTCACGAGCCACAATGTATATGTTTATATAAACGCACGATATATGTACATATATATACATATATATACATATATATATATATACATATATATGTATATATATATACACACTAGAAGGCCCCAGGTGTTGACGAATTCACTGCTCCACTGAAGAAGTGGACCACAGTCCACGCATGCCAATCTGCATTCCGAAAGGCCTTCGAGGAAGATGGTTGTGTAGGGGGGCGGAGGCCGTATGAATCGGGTTCCCAGAAGGCCTTCTGGGAGCATGGGTTTGGGGGCGTCTTGGGGAGCCTGTTGGGGCGTGCCGTCGTCGTCGTCGTCGTCGTCGTCATCGTCGTCGTCGTAATGTCGTCGTCGCCTATTGGGGCGCGCCGTCGTCGTCGTCGTCGTCGTCGTCGTCGTCGTCGTCGTCGTCGTCGTCGTCGTCGTCGTCGTCGTTTCGTCGTCGTTGTCGTCGTCGTCGATTCAAAAGGGCACTTGGGGCAACTTTGTGCGAAACGATCTGCGGAGGGCCGCGAGAAGGCGATCAGTCATGTTCCCAATCAACTTCCCAGACAGCTCTCCTGTAGCATGATGGTACTTCGAAGCCTCCGGAGACTCGCGGGCCCATGATGAACCATGTCCCCGGAAGGCTTTCTGGGGACATGGTTTGTTGGGGTGTGTTGGGGGGTCTCTTGGGCGTTCCCCTGGGGGCCCCTTGGGGGCCTCCGGGAACTCTCGGGCCCATGATGAACCATGTCCGAGGAAGGTTTTCTGGGGACATGATTTCTTGGGGTGTGTTGGGGGGCCTCTTGGGCGTTCCCTGGGAGCCCCTTGGGGGTCTCTTGGGGCTTCCTGGGGGCCTCTTGGGCGCCTCACGGGGCTTCGTGGGAGCCTCTTGGTGGCCTCCGGAGGCCTACAGGCGGCCTCTAGGTCCAGAGACCTCGAAATATCGGTTGGCAGTCCCCCTCTGGGCCCTCTCTTGGGGAGCTCTTGGGGCACAGTTGGGTTGTCTGGGGAGCCTCCTGGGCCGTCTTGGGGCCTTCATCGGGGCCTCGTGGCCCGTCTTGGAGCGATCTGAAGGGCCTCCGAGCGAGGCCGTGAGGGTTGCGCTGGGAAGCGGGGAAAGCGAGAACGCCTCAATCCTTCAGAAACCATCGGGAAATTAGTGAATTTTGCCTCCCAGGGCCCTCTTGGGGAGCCTCTTGAGTCCGTCCTGGAGCGTGCTGGAGTCCTCGTCGGCCGTCTTGAAGGCAGCTTGGGCGTCTTCGGGGCCTCTTGGGACCGTCTAGGGCCCTCTCGGGACCTCCATTAGCCTGTCGTGGCCTGCTTCGGGGCGGGCCCGGGCCGCCTCGGGACCCCTCTGGGCCTTCTTTTGGCGCGCGCTTGGGGCACACTTGGGTTGTCTGGGGAGCATCCTGGGCCGTCTTGGGGCCCTCGTCGGGGCCTCGTGGGCCTTCTTGGAGCGATCTGAAGGGCCTCCGAGGCCGTGAGGGAGCGCTGGAAAGCGGGAAACGCGAGAACGCCAAAATTCAAAGCACTGGGAAAACGAGTGAATCTTGCTTTCCAGGGCCCTCTTGGGGAGCCTCTTGAGTCCGTCCTGGAGCGCGTTGGAGTCCTCGTCGGCTGTCTTGAGGGCATCTTGGGCGTCTTCGGGGCCTCTTGGGACCCTTTTGGGCCCTCTCGGGACCCCCTTAGCCTGTTATGGCCTGCTTCGGGGCGGGCTCGGGCCGCCTCGGGAGCTCTGGACCCCCCCCCCGCAACCCCTGGTGGGCACCGATGGGGGGAACAGGCAGCGGCCCGCCCCCTCCCCAAGCCTACTCTGAGATAGAGAATCATGTTCCCTGGAAGCTTTCCGGGAGCATAATTTGTTCGGCTCTCTAAGAGGGGGGCCTCTGGGGGCTTACCGAGGGGCGCCTTTGGGCCTTGTCGGCAAACCTATTGGAAACATGGTTGGGGCGGTGGGCGGAAGCCCAAGGAATCATGCTCCCAGAAAGCTATCTGAGAAATACGATGTACCGAAGTATCTTGGGGGCCCGCAGGGGGCTTCCCTGGCTGGGGGTCCCTTGGGGGCCTATTGGGGCTTCCGGGGGGCCTCTTGGGAGCCTTACGGGGCTTCTTGGGAGCCTCTTGATGGCCTCCGGGGGCGTCCTAGGAGCCTCTCAGGCCGCGCTCTTCGGGCCCTCTTGGGTCGCTCTTGGGGCTCTCTTGGAGCGCTCTCGAGGCCCTCTTGACATATCTCGGGAGCCTGCTGGGCCGTCTCTGGGCTTTCTTGAGAGGCTCTTCGGCCGTCTTGGAGCGATCTGAAGGGCCTTTGACGCGGTCCGGGACCGTGGGGAGGCGGAACATGGGAGAGCGCAAGAATGCTTCAAAAACCATTGTAAAATTTTGATGTTCGGCTTCTGGGGCCCTTTGGAGGGGCCTCTGGAGGCGCTCTTGGGGCGTTTTGGCGGCGTCGTCGGCCGTCCTGAGGCCATCTTCGGCGTGTCCGGGGCCTCTGGGGGCTGTCTTTGAGCGTTCTGGGAACCCGGAAACCATGTTCCCGGAGAAGCTTCCGGGAACATGATTTCGAGCGAGGCCCTGTCGGGCCTCCTGGAGGCCGTCTTGGGGGCCTCCTGGGCTGGCTTTGGGGCCTCTTGGGCCGTCTTGGGAAGTTCCGTCAACCCCACAGGACGACCCTTTTGGGCCGTCTTGGGCCCTCTTGGGTCTCTCTTGGGCTGTCTTGGGGCTCCTCGGGGGCGTCTGGGGCACTGCGAAGACGAAGCACGCGAGTATGCTGAAAATGTATGTTTTACGACGGGAATGGGCCGATTTTTGCCTCTTGAAGGCCCTCTTGAGGCCCTCTTCGGCCATCTTCAAGCCATCTCGGGCCCTCTTGGGCCTCGCTGAGGCTGTCTCGTGGGCCTCTCGGGCGTCCTGGGAACTTGGAAATCATGCTCCCCGATAGGCTTCTGGGAACATGATTGCGAAAGGGGCCCCCTTGGGCCTCACTGAGGCCGTCTTGGGGGCCTCCTGGGCCGGCTTCGGGGCCACGTGGGCCGTTTTGGCGGGTTCCGTGAGCCCCACAGGACGACCCTGATGGGCCGTCTTGGGCCCTCTTGGGTCTCTCTTGGGCTGTGTTGGGGCTCCGCAGGGGCGTCTGGGGCACTGCGAAGGCGAAGCAAGGGAGAATGCTGAAAATCCACGTTTTACTAAGGGAACGGGCTGATTTTTGCCTCTTGAAGGCCCTCTTGGGGCCCTCTTCGGCCATCTTGAAGCCATCTCGGGCCCTCTTGGGCCTCGCTGAGGCTGTCTTGTGGGCCTCTTGGGCGTCCTGGGAACGCGGAAATCATGTTCCCGGAGAAGCTGCCGGGAACATGATTTCGAACGAGGCCCTCTTGGGCCTCCCTGAGGCCGTCTCGGGGACCTCCCGGGCCGGGTTCGGGGCCTCTTGGGCCGTCTTGGGGGGTTCCGTGAGCCCCACAGGACGACCCTTTCGGGCCGTCTTGGGCCCTCTTGGGTCTCTCTTGGGCTGTCTTGGGGCTCCGCAGGGGCGTCTGGGGCACTCTGAAGACGAAGCAAGCGAGCATGCTGAAAATGTATGTTTTACGACGGGAATGTGCCGATTTTTGCCTCTTGGAGGCCCTCTTGAGGACCTCTTCGGCCATCTTCAAGCCATCTCGGGCCCTCTTGGGCCTCGCTGAGGCTGTCTTGTGGGCCTCTTGGGCGCCCTGGGAACCTGGAAATCATGTTCCCGGAGAGGCTTCTGGGAACATGATTTCGAACGAGGCCCTCTTGGGCCTCCCTGAGGCCGTCTCGGGGGCCTCCTGGGCCGGCTTCGGGGCCTCTTGGGCCGCCTTGGGGGCATCCGTGAGCCCCACAGGACGACACTTTCGGGCCGTCTTGGGCCCTCTTGGGTCTCTCTTGGGCTGTCTTGGGGCTCCGCGTGGGCGTCTGGGGCACTCTGAAGACGAAGCAAGCGAGCATGCTGCAAATGTATGTTTCACGACGGGAATGGGCCGATTTTTGCCTCTTGAAGGCCCTCTTAGGGCCCTCTTCGGCCATCTTCAAGCCATCTCGGGCCTCGCTGAGGCTGTCTTGTGGGCCTCTTGGGCGTCCTGGGAACCTGGAAATCATGTTCCCAGAGAGGCTTCTGGGAACATGATTTCGAACGAGGCCTTCTTGGGCCTCTCTGACGCCGTCTTGGGGGCCTCCTGGGTCGGCTTTGGGGCCTCTCGGGCCGTCTCGGGGGGTTCCGTGAGCCCCACAAGCCGACCCTTTTGGGCCGTCTGGGGCCCTCTTTGGTCTCTCTTGGGCTGTGTTGGGGCTCCGCGGGGGCGTCTGGGGCACTGTGAAGACGAAGCCAGCGAGTATGCTGAAAATATACGTTTTACGAAAGGAATGGGCCGATTTTTGCCTCTTGAAGGCCCTGTTGAGGCCCTCGTCGGCCATCTTGAAACAATCTCGGGCCCTCTTGGGGCGCTCTTGGGCGTCTTCGGGGCCTCTTGAGGCTTTCTTGACCATCTGTACGGTCCGCGTGGCCTGTCGTGGGCAATTTGGAAGCGGCCTGGGGCAATCCCGGGGGGTCTGTGACCTCCCAAAAGTTCCAGGGGGCGCCCATGTGGGATGATGGCACTGGCCCGGGCCCCTCCTCCGGGGCTACACACACATACATATATATATATATATATATATATATATATATATATATGTTATGTGTGTAGATATACATATATATATATATATATATATACTAGAACCACGCGCGCGCTTCGCGCGCGCTTAAGTTCTAGCTAGGAGGCGAGCTTGAGTCAACGAAAGTCGCAGGGAAGGGGGCCGGGGGAAGAAGGCCAAAGAGAGCTGAAGGATACAAATACTGGAACCCTCTTGTGATTTTGTGGGGGGCCTCGTCCGGCCGCTCGCTGGGAGTTTGACGTAGCTTCTCGGGAGCCTCTGAACCTGTCGGGGGCCTCCTGGAAGCAGGTTCGAAGCATTTTGGGGGCCGATTTGGGGCTTCTCGGGGCCTCCTTTGGGCCTCTTGGGGGTCTCCTGGGGCCTCTTGAGGGGCCTCCTTGGGGCCTCCTGGCGGCCTCTTGGGGCGGAAGGCTCGAGCTTGCGGTTCGTGGTCCCCCTCTGGGCCCCCTCTTGGGCCCGTCTTGGGGCCCTCTTGGGCCATCTTGGGCGCCTCTTGGGCCGTCTTGGGGCCCTCTTGGGCTGTCCTGGGGCCCTCTTGGAAGCTTCTTGGGCCGTCTTGGGGCGGTCTTGGGCGCCTCTTGGGCCGTCCTGTAACGTCGGAAAGCCCAAAAGGCGACTTTGTGAAAAATGTACGTTTTACGAAGGGAATGGGTCAATTTTTGCGTCTAGGGGCCCTCTTGGGACGCATGTTGGAGGCTTCTTGGGTCGTCTTGGGGGCGTCCTTGGACGTCTGGGGTTCTCCTGGGGCCTCTTGATGGGCCTCCTTGGGGCCTCCTGGCGGCCTCTTGGGGCGGAAGGCTCGAGCTTGCGGTTCGTGGTCCCCCTCTGGGCCCCCTCTTGGGCCCGTCTTGGGGCCCTCTTGGGCCATCTTGGGCGCCTCTTGGGCCGTCTTGGGGCCCTCTTGGGCTGTCCTGGGGCCCTCTTGGAAGCTTCTTGGGCCGTCTTGGGGCGGTCTTGGGCGCCTCTTGGGCCGTCCTGTAACGTCGGAAAGCCCAAAAGGCGACTTTGTGAAAAATGTACGTTTTACGAAGGGAATGGGTCAATTTTTGCGTCTAGGGGCCCTCTTGGGACGCATGTTGGAGGCTTCTTGGGGCGTCTTGGGGGCGTCCTTGGACGTCTGGGGTCTCCTGGGGCCTCTTGAGGGGCCTCCTGGGGGCCTCCTGGCGGCCTCTTGGGGCGGAAGGCTCGAGCTTGCGGTTCGTGGTCCCCCTTTGGGCCCCCTCTTGGGCCCGTCTTGGGGCCCTCTTGGGCCATCTTGGGCGCCTCTTGGGCCGTCTTGGGGCCCTCTTGGGCTGTCCTGGGGCCCTCTTGGAAGCTTCTTGGGCCGTCTTGGGGCGGTCTTGGGCGCCTCTTGGGCCGTCCTGTAACGTCGGAAAGCCCAAAAGACAATTTTGTTGAAAATGTACGTTTTACGAAGGGAATGGGCCAATTTTTGCGTCTAGGGGCCCTCTTGGGACGCATGTTGGAGGCTTCTTGGGGCCTCTTGGGGGCGTCCTTGGACGTCTGGAGGCCATCTTCAGCATCTCGGAGCCCTCTTGGAGGCCTCTTGGAAGTTTCTTGGGCCGTCTTGGGCGCTCCTGGGGCCGTCTTGTCTGACCGGGGAGGCCTCCGGCAAGCCCCGACGAGCCTCCGGGCCCCCCGGGGTGCACATTTGCGGTCGAGGTCCCGGCCCCGGGCCCCCGGACCCGGTGCGCCGTTATATGTATACATACATATATAAAAATACACATCTGTGTGTGTACGTGTGAGCGCATATCTATACATATATATATATATATATATATATATGTTCACGTCTGTGTTTGTATGCATACACACATATATATATGGTTATATATATATAAAATAGAGATTATACATATGCAGATATTTAGGTTTATATATCATGCATGCTTGTACACACTACTTACAGTTAAGGTGTCTGGCGCAACAGACGAGCAGGCGGAGGCGAGGGGATAGCTCCGTCGTCGGTGGTTTCGGACATGGAGTGCATGTGACACCAGCCCAACGCACGAGGCGGCAACGATGCGGCCACCGGGCGAAAACCCGGCAAGCCCATGCAACGAACAGTCGGGCACAAGGCGGCGGCGGGCGGCGACTGGGGGAAACCCGGGAAGACCCAGGCAACGCACGTGGCGGTGACAAGGCGGCGACGGGAGGTCGTTGGGCGAAAGCCCAATCAACCGTACCATTCACTTCGTTTTTTTTGCCATGGTTCTCGCGGATTGAACCACTGGCGCCGTCTGCCCACTCTACCACTTACTCCATGGTGCAGAGGAACGCCTCAGTGCACACTGTGGCTGGAGAGGGTTTGTCTGTATGGCGCTGTATCTCTTTGCTCTGCTTTTGCAGCTGCGTTGCTTTGCAATGTGGGAAGCCTTCGAGGAAGGGTATTCCCCAGGAGCATGCCCGAGGAACCCTCGCCACTGGTTCTCTTGCGCAAGATAACTTAGGATCCCTGGGGCAATTCCTAATGAGGAAGAGCCTGACGCCTCAGCTCGCGAGGAAGAGTACGGTGAGGATGGATAAGTGGACTGGGGGCGAACGAATGTAAAGCAAGCCTGGATCGAGTCGCAAATGATCTCGTATACACATTCTTACAATTTCGGATGGAACTGGCTTGTATTACTGCCAGCGCATGTTTGGACACTGTATGAATGTGGTATGGAACGGGACCGGTTGGCCTGAGGCCCCCGCTAAACGCAGGGCTTCCTCCAGCATGCTCGCAGGCGTCGCAAACGACAAAATCTCAGATCGGCTGCTTGCATGCACGGCCGCGGGCGCGTGCCAATCAGAAGTCGCATGCGTCTATGCAGCCTGCCTCGGTGGCAAGCGTTGCCAGCCGATCGGGGCTACCTACTGGCCGCTGAGCACCACGCCTGCGTACCCTCCGACTCCGCGGCAGCCGCGGCAGCGCTGATGGCCTCTAGCATCGCCTGGCTCGGGGTCGGCGCTGGGAGTCCTCCCGTCGCCCAAGCATGATTGGTTGCGTTCGTGTCGATCTGGCGAAGGACGGCCAGGGCGTCCTCTCCCAGCCGGCCGCCGATGCCAACTGCAAAGGCCGCTGTAAGAAGGATCGGATCAAGTTTTGAGCATCAGGCCAGCGTTGAGCATGCACTTGCGGTAGTCCCCCACTGTCTTGAAAGGGTGGAAGGTAACAGCACCGCTCGCGCAGTCCACGTATTCAGGGCAATCGCAGTGGTCCTCACAGATCAAGCTGAAGTCGTCCACACGTTCGACCGCCAGAACCTTCTCGAGGCACTGATCCATGTACATATCCTCGCCCCAATGGGTGTAAGCGAACCAGAACTTCTGCTCGCACTGCATGTAGTTCTCGCCGTACAAATCGATTGCGCTCCGAGAGAAGACCTCGACCGGGCCGTGCAATCCGTACTTGCAGTTGTTGATGTAGGTCCCATTGGCACCCTCGATCACCTCGTGCAGGCGCCCCCGCAAGCGGTCTGGGAAGAAAACGGCGTCTGGGTCGATCTTGACTGTCCAGTCGTGGAACCGGAAGCGGCCGCTGTCGATAACCTTCTTCCAGAGGGCTATGAAAATTCCTGCATTGAGGGCCGTGCCCGCATCACCTCCAACCTCGCACTTCAGGTCGCTCTCGATGACCTTCGTGTGAACCCCAGGGCCTACCTTGACCTCGGCATTGCTGAAGATGGCGTGCTCCTCGCATGCAAACATGCTCACTCGCTCGGCGTGCTGCATTTGGAGGAGCGTCAGCTCGTCCCCGTGCGGCTGAATTAAGGCCAAGCAGTAGAGCGAGCCTGGCCTGTGCTCCCTCACGGGCAGCCCCGACACGACGCCCTCCCTGCGCAGCCTCGTCGGCGCCCTGCGCTCCTGCTCGGGCTCCAGCAGGCTGCACACGTACGCCTCGCCATGGTTGCCGTGCTCTCTGCGTGACCACGTCCATGAGCCGCAGCGGCGGTCGACCTGGCACTTCTCGCAGCACACTCCGGCGCTGGGGATAGGCGCCATGTGCTGATACGCGACGCCCTCATACTCAACGCCTACGTCTATCATCCCGCAGCTCGAGTGCGGCGCACAGATGGGCGACCGGATCATGCCGGCGTCCACGTCGGACTGCTCCGCGCCCCGACCCCTGCTGCCTGCGCCGATGGAGAGCCAGAGGCCGTCGACGGTGTCGTCGAAGTCGGCCGAGCCGCTCTCCCTGTAGGAATAACAGCCCTCGGGGCGGTTGGGCAAGACCGTCGCGGCCACGGTGACGTCTGGCTCTTTGAGAGCCCGCGCAGCTGCAGCGCACAAAGTCTCGTCCAGAATGGGGACCATTCCGTGGTCGTCGCACGTCCCAACGGAGACCTTCTTGAACACTGTGGACCTTAGCTCCTCGGATGGCACCTGCTCCTCCAGCGACACGGCGGAGCCAGCGACGGCCTCGTCGTCGTCGTCGTCGTCGTCGTCGTCGTCGTCGTCATCGTCGTCATCGTCGTCGTCGTCGTTGTCTTTGTGTTCGTCTTCGTCGTGCTCAGCGACGGCCTCCAGCCGCAGCTGCCTGCCGCGCAGCCTGAGGCACGCGGCCGCCGCCACTGCGAGGGCAGCGGCCGGAAGCAGCAGCGCCGCAGGGCGCTGGGCGCCTGCAGGGCACGCACCCCGGGCGTGCCCGTCCTCGTCCTCCTCAGCGTCTGCGGCCACACTCAAAGCAACCTGCCTGTACAGCCACCGGTCAGGGACAGGCGCCTCGGCGACTCCGGGGGGGTGCTTGCCGCAGCGACCCCCCATCGCACCCGCGGCCCCTACGGCGTGGAGGCCATCCCCGAGCCCCCCCGAAGCCAAAAGGGCTGCGGAGGAGGCGGCGGAGGAGGACCGAATGGCGGGGCGCGGCCCAAGCATGGTGTCGACCAAGACCGGCACAGCACATGTGTACAGGAGGGATGTGGGTGGGGAGCCCAGGCAGGGATTTCGGGGGTAGGCCAAGTTCTCCCCTCCCCCCACCCCTACATAATCAGCGTTCCCCCCTCCCTGCGGTCGGAGACTTCTGCTCAGCGCGTCGCGGCGGACACGCCATGCCCTGCGAGCCGACAGCGTGTTGCTCCGCTCTGCGGGGCGGGAGGCTCCGAGGAGCCGAGGACGTTGACGCGGGGCGTGGTTGGCGTGTCGCGCCGAGGCGTGGAGGGCCCGAACCTGCGGCGCGACACGCGAAGCCGACGTTCCTGGTCGCGCCTTGTCCTTCCCATGGCTCACCCCACACCCTCCCCTCCCCGTCGCCCTCCTCTTCTGTCACCCTCGCCCCTCCTTGCTCGATGCTCGGCCCTCCTCTCCACCACCCTCCCCCCTCCTCGGCCTCGGCGCCGAGGGCAGCACCTGCCTGCCCCGCGACGCGCCGCCCCTCCCCGGCCGCCCTCGCCGCCGGGGGGGCGGGGACGCGTTCTGAGTGGCCCCCGGTGCTGGCGGCAGGGAAGTGCCCGGAGATCCTGGCTTCGCATCCTTTCGCGACGGGCGATCCTGCCTTGCTTCGGGCCCTGGGGCACCTCACGGGCTGATCCGGCTCGAAGGGTGCCGCAGGAAGAGGGGATCGGGGGCTCTGGTCGTGCTTCTTGCGTGGTGTTGCAGCTTTCTCGCAGCGTCGGATCCCAGGGCGCAGGGGAAAAGCGAGCCGAACAGACGACAACGACAACGGCGACACGGCGACGTCAGAGGCCGCGGGAGCGGAGGAGTGGGAGGGGCTGGCAGCGGCGGCGTCGCCGCCGCTGCCGTCGGCCGCCGCGGTCGGCCGCTGCCGTCCGCCGTCGTGGCCGCCGTCGTCGCCGCCGGCGCCAGCGCAGCCTTCGCCGCCGTCGCCTCTGCCGTCGGCCGCCGCCGTCGTCCCTTCCGGCGGGGGGTGGCGGGAGCAGTGGGGCCCAACCTTCTCTGCCGATCCTGGGGATCCGAGGGTGTGTGTGTGTGTGTCTGGAGGTATAGAGGCCTCCCAAGTGGGGTCAGAGCAGATGGGGTCGCAGGGCCGCGCCGAACCGCCGATGCCTCGGAGCCGTTGGCGTGGAGGAAAGCGGGCTCCACATCGAAGCGCATCGCCGATGCATCGGCGGTGCGGCGCGATCCTTCGACCCGTTTGCTCGGACCCCATTCGGGGGGAGGACGTAGAGTCAGGCGGCGAACGTGCTCAGGTGGGGCCAGGGCGGAGGCGGCGGCGGCACGCGGCATTCACCGAGCGGGGGCCGCAGCCACCCTCGAGGGGGGAGGCGGGACCTGCCGGTCAGGCGGGCGAGGTGGGTCACGTGGCGTCGGAGGTCGTCTGGGTCGATCTGGACGTCGGCCTCCCCGTGCTGCGGCATATCGCGCCGCTCTTCTGCGAGATGTGACTTCGGTCTCCTCGCAGGCTGCGCATCGTGCTGCCAGTGCCCACCGCCGCCGTCTGTGCTCTGCGGCTGCCGCGGCGGCCAGAGGGTGCGGAGAGCTTCTGGTGGAGTTTCGTTGCTCGTCTCCCCTTGGCCTCCTGCTGGGGGCTCGTCGATCTCCCGTCGCTCCTGTCGAAGCCATCGTGGTCGTCGCCGCCGTTGCCACGGCGGGTCGTGTCGCCGAGAGGCTGCCGCGACGGGACCTGCTGCTGCACGAGGTCGTCCAGTGCTTCCTGGAGCGCGTGGGCGACGTCGTGGCCAGCGCCAGCGACGGTCGGCTGCAGCGGGCTGCCCCCCTCGAGCGACCCTCGCCGCAAGGTGCGCTGCGGTGGCGACGACGGCTGGTCGGTTGCTGCGCCTCCTGGGGCGCTCCCCTCGTCGGCGCCGACGGTGGCTCCTCCCGGTGCGGTGGGCTGTGCCTGGCCCTGGCCGCCGAGGCCTGGGTCAGCCGCACGGCCGCAGCGGGCCGCGGCTGGAGCCAGCTGTCCGCCACGCTGTCAGGGCCAGGCGCACTCCTGCCCACGGGTGCCTGCATCTGGTGGTGGACATCCTGCTCGGCGATCTTGATCCTTTCGTTCTCCCAGTCTCCTCCTCCTCCTCCTCCTCCTCCTCCTCCTCGCATCCTCGTGCACATCCTCCTTTGGCCTTCCCTTCCCCGCATCCTCCCCCTTCTGCTCCTCCTCTTCTTTCTCCTCCTTCTTCTCCTCCTCTTCCACCCTCCCTTTTTTGAATCTACTCCTCCTGCTCATTATCCATCACCCTTTCTCGCAAACAGTAAGAGGCTTCCATGGCAAACCTACTTTTGGGGAACCTGAGCAGACAAGACCACACACAAACCCTCCGATAAACATCATCTTCGGACCGTGTCAGCAGTGGTAGATCAACGCTCCACATTGCAAGCGATTTCCTGTTTGCCTCCCCCGATCGGACAATGCACCTCCACAGCTGTGACACAAATCTTCTGTCGATGAAGCGCCACTGGTGTTTCGGAGTGTTTCCTTGCCGCGTGGAGGACCCTGCGGCGTTGACCTATCTCAGCCCGCGCGCAAGAGTCGTTCCACATCCACGCCACCGCAGAGCCTTCAGCAGCACTTGCCCTGATGGGCGAACCAACTACCCCCAAATCAGGCCCAGATCACCTGGCTGGGCCGTGAGCAAGCAGGCACGGGGTAGTCCGAATTGCATGGGATGCTCCAGAAACCCTAAATCCGACAATATTGCCACCTATCAGGGGGGCATCCTCTGGCCTCGCCAACTTCCGTAAGCAAAGCCGCCCTCGTCCTGCTTCCGCCGACTTCCGTCGCCCTTCCGCCCCCTTCTGCCCAGGAATGGAGGCCTGGACAACCTCCCCGGGGCCGCTTCTGCGGCCCGGCGGGGGCCCCTGGAGGCCGAGACCTGCCAAAAACCGCCGCTCCATTCGTCTCGGAGCCTCGGGTCTCCGGGAATGCCACCCTCCAGTAGATGGGCTCTATGTATATATGTATACATATATATATATACATATATATTATATATATATATATATATATATATATATATATATATATATTCGAGCCCTTACACATTCGAGGGAGATTCTAAATCACACCCGCGCCCCCGACATCAATGTTGATCTCAGTAAAGGCGGTGCTCTGGGGTTCGAATCTTTCTGTCCACTCACGCCTCCCCCGTCGCCACGCCACTCAATATCAATTTCGGAGGGGTCTGGGGGGCATCTTGGGCCACAGGGTTCGAATATAATGTCCATGTACGGGAGTGGGGAGGAGGAGGGAGCAGGGAGGAAGAGGGGGAGGGGGAGGGGGAGGAGGGGGAGGAGGGGGAGGAGGAGGAGGAGGAGGAGGAGGAGGAGGAGGAGGAGGAGGAGGAGGAGGAGGAGGAGGAGGCACCCCGCCGACAGTCCCAGATCGGCCCCCCCCCCTGCCGCGGACGACCGCGCCGCTCGCCGCAGGCGCACGCCCAGGGGTCCCGTGCGCCGGCGATGCGGGGGTTCACCCTCGTGGGGGGGCGTGCGCACTGCTCGCGAGAAGCGGGCAGGCTTAAGTCGGGCGTGTCACCCTACAGGGGGATTTTGGGCGAAACATACCAAAAAATCAAACAATACCCCGCACATGTTCGAAAATAGTCAGAAAATCGTCTCCAGACTATTTTTCGATAATTTTTGAATATTCCCCCTGTAGAGGGACACGCCCGACTCAAGGGTAGACGCACGGAGGAGGGAGGCGCTGAGCGCAGACCGGGTTGCCGCCTGCACCCCGAGGAGGAAGGAGCAGGCAGATCCGCTCGAGGATGGAAGCAGGACGGCGCCCGAAGCAGACGGGAGCTTGGGCACCCGGCACTCGGGCAGTGTCTGCTCTCGACGGCCGATGGGTACTCCAGATTTCGTAATAAAGGGAGGGGGGTCTTATTTCGGAGGGGGTCTCTTCCAGGCTATCTTGGAGTGCCTGGGGGGGGCTGGGGACGATGTTTTGGAGGGTTCTCCCACGGGGGAGGTCTGAAACGGCTTGTCTTGGAGGGTCCAGACCCCCTCCCTTTTATTACGAGATCTGGAGTACCCCCCTCTGGACGCCTACGGGCAAGAGCTCTTGCTCAGCGTGTCGCGGTGGCGGCCCTGCGGACACGCTGTGCCCCGCAGGCCGACACCGCGCTGCCCTGCCTCGCGGGATGGGAAGCGGGGGATGGCTCGGAGCATGGTGCCTGGGGACCGGGCGGTGGCTCGCGCGTCGCGCCAGCGCATGGCGGCCAGAGCTGGCGGCGTGACACGCGGAGCAAGCGCAGATGACCGTGTCGCCCAACCGCGGGGAAGGCTTGGGGGGGGGGTGGGACGTGGGGGGGCGCACGGGAGGGGGAAAGAAAGAGGAGAAGGACCACCAGGTGAGGCATCAGGCCCCCCCCCAAAGGGGATGCGAGAGTGTCAGCGCTCTGGTGAGAGCCGCACACGGAGGGTCAGACGACTCGTCCACACGGACGCGGAAGCGTTCATAACAGGCGCCGTGCTAAGAATACTCACGCCACAAGCGTGCTCCCTAACCCCTAGTCTTAAGCCCGAGCGGTCGGTCGACTGAAGTCCCGCGGCAGCCTTCCTCCTCCTCGTCCCACCCCTCTCCCTCATCCTCCGTCTTCCGCCCGCGTTCTCCGCCTCCTCATCCTCTTTCTCCATGTCGCCGCCCTCCTCCTCCTCCTCCTCCTCCTCCTCCTCCCCTTTCCTCCTCCTCCTCCTCCTCCTCCTCCTCCCCGGCTCCGGGGCAGCCACCTGACGAGAAGGACCTTCGTACATTCCTCGTCGGCCCTGGTCCCGCGACGAATGCCCGCGAGGGAGGGAGGGAGGGAGGAGGAATGGA